GCGTCTGGACGACGGGATAGCTGCTTCGGTTGTGCAGCGTACAGCGCCGATCCATATGGCCGCAATAGAGACGAGGAGACGTTTCGTAGCAAGATTGCTTGACAGCTGGCTCCTCTCAGGGACTACCCCAGATGGATTCTTTGGCCGGCCTGCCTTAGCAAAAGAGTCTATAATCGGCGAGATGTTGTCCAGGGAGGCTCCTGACGCCGCGGGGTCATCGTTGATAGGGCGGTAGGGCATCATTGGGCATCATGGCTATGTCGTGACGGAAAAGGGCACGCTGTATAGTTGCCCAAGTGCTCCAATGAAACTCAAGTACCAGTCGGGTATCGCCAATGGTTGCTTGTGCAGGGAAGTGCCCTGAATTCGATAAGGCGGTGACCAAAGAGGGAGCAGGTTGGGGGTTGGGCAGAAGTGACGCGACCGATACGGATGGAGCCCAATCATGCCTTGATGCCAGACGGCCGCCCAAGCAGTTTCGGCCACGCACTTCCGAATTCGACTGGTCGGCGACGGCGCACTGTGAAGGTCAAGTGCCGCATCTCCAAAGGGCTGACTTGACCGGCTGGAGAGAGCAGTGATAGTAGGGGAACAACAGGGCGGCGTGCGGGCGGATTGATTATGCGCCCCGTCACCGCGTCAGCAGTGCAGCGTTCATTGCAGCACCCGAAATGAAGCTTCCGTTGACACCGGCGAGATTTATGTACAGCGGTTCATATGCCAGGAGATGGACAGCTCTGTACAGGATCGGAGCGAGGTTATGGGATGACCGGAAATGCTCCTACAAAAAGGTTGAACGCTGGTTCCATGTTCACGTCCCCTTCCTTGTAAGGAAGGCCTTTACTTTGTCTCTTTATGACGGGGAAGGCACGTGGGTTGTCGTGATTTGATCCTGGAACAAGATCACACAGCACAGAGCTTCGAGTGCTCTATGCTTGAATGTCTTAGACGCTCTACGGTAATCTACAGTGCGGCACCGAGGTGACACCTACTGTAATTAGGATTGTGCTGTGTTGCCTTCTCTACCTAACTCTACAGTGACATGTTGATTTTGGGCAGCCACCTCTAATTCATCTTCCTATCGTCTACTAAGGATGCGTTTCCTTCAATTGTTGTTGGTCATCGGTATTGTTAGGGCAGTTATACCGCCTACGAACCAATCCACTTATCCAAGGACATTATACAAAGCCGATCTGGCCTGTTTCTGCCTGCCTGCCCGGCTGCAACTTAACTTATACGGATACCTATGCACCCCAATCTGGCATCTGCTCATTCGACGTCACGCAACTCGTCTACGAAAACGGCAAGTACGCTGACCGACCTAGGAATCCGTGATAGAGCCTCCCTCATCTCAGTGACTTCATGACACAAAAGAGGAAAGCACGGCGTGGGTACGTCCAAACAGCTCATGTAAAGGCACTTTCCTTCACTGCATGTGTACTTGCGTCTATATATGGACAATTGTACGAGGATACTACACTAGGTAGCTATCTACAACCTAAATACTTCCATACCGGCCGACCTACTTTCTTTTTCTTTTACATGCCCAAGTTCGCCCAAATACGCCACAACTGGTGAGATTGGGCTGCCACTCCGGAACACTTCGTTCCAAAGGGCATGTTTTGACGAGTTTTCCGCATGTGCTATTGTTTCGGGGCACAATAGACAATCTGCATCCCCGCCAAACCTTTCCTTCCCACGGCTTCTGCCTTTCTTCTTCCC